AGCAGTATGGCTGGTGGCATTGTCATGCTGGAGGTTCATGTCAGGATGAGCCTGCAGGAAGGGTACCACATGAGGGAGGAGGATGTCTTCCCTGTAACGCACAGCGTTGAGATTGCCTGCAATGACAACAAGCTCACTCCAGTGATGCTGTGACACACCGCTCCAGACCATGACGGACCCTCCACCTCCAAATCGATCCCGCTCCAGAGTACAGGCCTCGGTGTAACGCTCATTCCTTCAACGATAAACGCGAATCCGACCATCACCCCTGGTGAGACAAAACCGCGACTCGTCAGTGAAGAGCACAGTTTTCCAAGCCCTGTCTGGTCCAGCGACGGTGGGTTTGTGCCCATAGGCAACGTTGTTGCCGGTGATGTCTGGTGAGGACCTGCCTTACAACAGGCCTACAAGCCCTCAGTCCAGCCTCTCTCAGCCTATTGCGGACAGTCTGAGCACTGATGGAGGGATTGTGCATTCCTGGTGGAACTCTGGCAGTTGTTGTTGCCATCCTGTACCTGTCCCGCAGGTGTGATGTTCAGATGTACCGATCCTGTGCAGTTGTTGTTACACGTGGTCTGCCACTGCGATGATGATCAGCTGTCCGTCCTGTCTCCCTGTAGCGCTGTCTTAGGCTTTTCACAGTACAGACATTGCAATTTATTGCCCTGGCCACATCTGCAGTCCTCATGCCTTCTTGCAGCATGCCTAAGGCACGTTCACGCAGATGGGCAGGACCCTGGGCATCTTTCTTTTGGTGTTTTTCAGAGTCAGTAGAAAGGCCTCTTTAGTGTCCTAAGTTTTCATAACTGTGACCTTAATTGCCTACCGTCTGTAAGCTGTTCGTGTCTTAACGACCGTTCAACAGGTGAATGTTCATTAATTGTTTATGGTTCATTGAACAAGCATGGGAAACAGTGTTTAAACCCTTTACAATGAAGATCTGTGAAGTTATTTGGATTTTTACTAATTACCGTATCTTTGAAAGACAGGGTCCTGAAAAAGGGACGTTTCTTTTTTTGCGTTTACATTTGGCTCCTTCTCTGGCTACAAGATAAACTGGCAAAAAAGCGAATTGATGCCAATATCATGGCCTGTGGATATGCAATTTCTGCAATCTACCCCATTTTAGAACAGTGATGGACAAGTTCACAAGCCTTGGCATTGTAGTGACAAAAACTTGATCAGCTATTGAAAACTAATTGAGACATGAAAATGTATCAACTTAAACAAAATATAGATTTTTGGAAAACTCTGCCTATCTCCGTGGCTGGTCGTATAAACGCTATTAAAATGGTTGTCCTACCCAGGTTTCTTTACCTCTTCCAATGTCTACCCAATTTCATAGCACAAAGCTATTTTAAGAAACTGGATTCAATAGTAATTCCATTCTTATGGGATAACAAGGCAGCCAGAATTTCAAAGAAGCATTTATGCAAGTACAAGATAGAGGGGGGTTTTGGCCTTCCTCACTTTAAACTGTATTATTGGGCTGCTAATCTGAACATCATGTCTTTCTGGAGGGAAAGTTTACCTGGGATCCCACAGAATAATATGCCTTCATGTCTTTTGATGGAGCAGGCCTCCTGTCAACGTTCCTCACTCCTGCACTTGTTAATAGCCCAGCATATGTGAAAAAAGCCACTTATGACTCTAACCCAGTCATTTGTCACACTCTTAGGATCTGGAAACAGATTAGGTATTTTCTTAACATACCCACTATATACATTGACAGCCCAATTTGTCTGAATCATGCTTTCCACCCTGCATTGGACGTTATGGTGTTTTCACAGTGGAGGGAGAAGGGGCTCACAACAATCGGTAATTTATACATTGATGTCATTTAGCTTCATTTAAACAATTACAGGGTAAGTTTAACATGCCAGCAACACATTTTTTTCCGATACCTCCGAATCAGGAATTTCTTAAGGACACATATTTTGGGCACTAAGCCAAATAATCCTACATTAGATAGCCTTTCCTTGTCAAACCTCATTCAAAAGGGTCAGTCTCTAGACTTTATGATGTGCTACAGGCCCACATAGAGGAATCCACAGACACTATTAAAAGGGCTTGGGAGCAGGAACTTGGTTCAGAAATCTCAGATGAGGACTGTGTAGAATCTCTCAGGAATAAAAACCACAGTTCAGTGAATGCCAGACACAACCTTGTTCAGTTTAAGGTGATACACACGTTACATTACTCAAAAGTGAAACTGCATAAAATATTCCCAGACACCTCACCACTGTGTGAGAGGTGGAAACAGGATGGGGGGACATGTCCTAAGTTACATGTTTACTGGGCTCTCATTTTTGATTACTTATCTAAAGCGTTTGATAGTTATAGCCCCAGACCAATTGATCGCTCTGTTTGGTACAGTTGATGGGAATAACCAGGAAGGGAAGGCTCTCTCTTTGTACTCTTATTAGCTCATTGCAATTTTGGAAATTGAAGACTGTACCTACAGTGAGGGGGAAAAAGTATTTGATCCCCTGCTGATTTTGTACTTTTGCCCACTGACAAAGACATGATCAGTCAATAATTTTAATGGTGGGTTTATTTGAACAGTGAGAGACAGAATAACAACAAAAAAATCCAGAAAGATGCATGTCAAAAATGTTATAAATTGATTTGCATTTTAATTAGAGAAATAAGTATTTGACCCCTCTGCAAAACATGACTTAGTACTTGGTGGCAAAACCCTTGTTGGCAATCACAGAGGTCAGACGTTTCTTGTAGTTGGCCACCAGGTTTGCACACATCTCAGGAGGGATTTTGTTCCACTCCTCTTTGCAGATCTTCTCCAAGTCATTAAGGTTTTGAGGCTGACATTTGGCAACTCAAACCTTCAGCCCCCTCCACAGATTTTCTATGGGATTAAGGTCTGGAGACTGGCTAGGCCACTCCAGGACCTTAATGTGCTTCTTCTTGAGCCACTCCTTTGTTGCCTTGGCTGTGTGTTTTGGGTCATTGTCATGCTGGAATACCCATCCACGACCCATTTTCAATGCCCTGGCTGAGGGAAGGAGGTTCTCACCCACGATTTGACGGTACATGGCCCCGTCCATCGTCCCTTTGATGTGGTGAAGTTGTCCTGTCCCCTTAGCAGAAAAACACCCCCAAAGCATAATGTTTCCACCTCCATGTTTGACGGTGGGGAAGGTGTTCTTGGGGTCATAGGCAGCATTCCTCCTCCTCCAAACACGGCGAGTTGAGTTGATGCCAAAGAGCTCCATTTTGGTCTCATCTGACCACAACACTTTCACCCAGTTCTCCTCTGAATCATTCAGATGTTCATTGGCAAACTTCAGACGGCCCTGTATATGTGCTTTCTTGAGCAGGGGGACCTTGCGGGCGCTGCAGGATTTCAGTCCTTCACGGCGTAGTGCAGGGTTCTTCAATTCCGGTCCTGGAGGGCCGAAACACTTCTGTTTTTTATTTCTACCTGGTAGTTAATTGCACTCACCTGGTGTCACAGGTCTGAATTAGCCCCTGATTAGAAGGAGAGGATGAAAAACAGAGGTGTTTCGGCCCTCCAGGACCAGAATTGAAGAACCCTGGCGTAGTGTGTTACCAATTGTTTTCTTGGTGACTATGGTCCCAGCTGCCTTGAGATCATTGACAAGATCCTCCTGTGTAGTTCTGGGCTGATTCCTCACCGTTCTCATGATCATTGCAACTCCACGAGGTGAGATCTTGCATGGAGCCCCAGGCTGAGGGAGATTGACAGTTATTTTGTGTTTCTTCCATTTGCGAATAATCGCACCAACTGTTGTCACCTTCTCACCAAGCTGCTTGGCGATGGTCTTGTAGCCCATTCCAGCCTTGTGTAGGTCTACAATCTTGTCCCTGACATCCTTGGAGAGCTCTTTGGTCTTGGCCATGGTGGAGAGTTTGTAATCTGATTGATTGATTTCTTCTGTGGACAGGTGTCTTTTATACAGGTAACACGCTGAGATTAGGAGCACTCCCTTTAAGAGTGTGCTCCTAATCTCAGCTCGTTACCTGTATAAAAGACACCTGGGAGCCAGAAATCTTTCTGATTGAGAGGGGGTCAAATACTTATTTCCCTCATTAAAATGCAAATCAATTTATAATTTTTTTTTCATGCGTTGTTTTGGATTTTTTTGTTGTTATTCTGTCTCTCACTGTTCAAATAAACCTACCATTAAAATTATAGACTGATCATTTCTTTGTCAGTGAGCAAACGTACAAAATCAGCAGGGGATCAAATACTTTTTTCCCTCACTGTACCTTTGAAATGTGGTTACGGGATTTAGGGAATGTAATGCATATGGAAAGGATTCGATACAATACCTCCAATAGAAGTCCAATACAAGAAGTTATACAAAATATGGCAGCCAATACTGGATAAATGGTCTAGTCCCGCTTCATAACTGGGTTGATGCTCTGCTGCTACTCTGTGCTGTACTACACTCAATATTTATTTTTGGCTTAACTACACTGCTTGTAATGACTGTATGCTTTCTTTTTATAATATGTACATTTGACATTTTAGTCATTTAGCAGATGCTCTTCTCCAGAGCGACTTACAGTTAGTGAGTGCATACATTTTTCATACTGGCCCCCCCGTGGGAATCGAACCCACAACCCTGGCATTGCAAGCGCCATGCTCTACCAACTGAGCTACAGGAGGCCCGCCGCCTAATAGGATTTTTGTATATTACATTTTTGTATGTGAGAGTTAAGTTTTGTTTTGTCCTCTAAATTGCCATCCCATTCAACAGTACAATGAATGTCAATGTTTTATTTGTCTTTTCTTCTTAATTTTTTATTGGAAAATAATAAACATATTATCAAAACAATAATTTTAAAAACGGTCGATTAACGTGAGACTGGCAGTTATTTGCTTGACAATCTCCGGCTGACAAAATGTCATGACCGCCACAGCCCTCGTTATGTCCAAGGAGTGCTTCCTCTGTTATATCTTCCTGTTTGATCTGATGTCGTATCCTATCCCATTGGTGCTCCAGGAGGTGCCAATGCTGCCCCAGCCCAGCTACGCCCAGTCTGGCTCTATCTACTACATCTGTCTGCTGCGAGACGAACTGCTGCTGCACCAAGGTATGGAGGGGGACTATAACCATGGTTGTATGCGAAATGGCACCCTATTCCCTATATAGTGCACTACTTTTGACTAGGGCCCTGCTCAGAAGTATAGGGCTCTGGTCAAAAGTAGGGCACTATATAGGGAATAGGATGACTTCGTACGCAACCCCATGATTTCATACGCAACTCCATGTACTGTATAAGGCCACGTCAATGTTTTAGTATGTTTGTGTGCCAGTTGCACAGGTTGCCACATTGAATAATAGTTGTATAGCACCTTGGGGTGTGTTAAATGTGCTTTATAAATAAAAAAATAATGATAATGTTATGTAACCTGTCTGTCCAGGTGACTGTGTGTACCTGATGAGGGACAGCAGACGCACCCCAGAGGGCCAGCCAGTCAGGCAGTCCTACCGCCTCCTGTCCCATGTCAACAGGGACAAGCTGGACATCTTCCGCATCGAGAAACTCTGGAAGAGTGAAAAGTAAGGGATGGGGGGAAATGGAACGCCACATCGAGCAACATCAGCGATTTCATTGCTGTATTTTTGCCTCTGACTCTCTCGTCTCATTGTGTGTGTGTGCCCTGTAGGGGTGAGAGGTTTGCCTTTGGCCACCATTACTTCAGGCCCCACGAGACACACCACTCGCCCTCGCGCCGCTTCTACCACAACGAGCTGTTCCGCGTGCCACTCTACGAGATCATCCCTCTCGAGGCCGTGGTTGGGACCTGCTGCGTCCTCGACCTCTACACTTACTGCAAGGGTGAGACACTCACGCACACACACATTGTAAGGGAGATGCATAAACACACTGAGCTAACACACACTGAGCTAACACACACTGAGCTAACACATATAATGACCTAAACTGACCTGTGGTGCGTTTTATTTTCTTTCAGGACGGCCGAAGGGAGTGAAGGAGCAGGACGTGTACATCTGTGACTACCGCCTGGACAAGTCAGCGCACCTCTTCTACAAGATCCACCGAAACCGCTTCCCTGTGTGCACTAAGCCCTACGCCTTCAACCACTTCCCCAAGAGGCTGGCCCCCAAGAGAGACTTCTCGGTAAGAGGGTCCAAGAGGATGGGTAGGGGTTGTATTGAAGTGTTTGCATGGAGTTTTAGTGAGGCTAGTTTGAGGTAGTATTAATATACGGTTCAGTTATGGGATTGAATTGAGTGGAATCAGAGAAGTGGATCTGAGTGGATTTATCAAAGAAGATGGATCGGGCACTATTGATGACTGATATGTGCCTACCATTCTTTTACCATGTGCTGTTTTTGCAAACCGTTAATTATCCTAAGAGAGAAGATGGGGGGGTCCAGCTTGATACAGTTAATTCTGCTCCAATTCTTATTGCTTGTTCATAAAACGAATTGTTAATAATCCCAAAATCTAAGTAATGTATTAATAACTTGTGAGTAAGTCAACTGAAAGTCTGTTCCTTCCCAACCTCGCCTTAGCCGCACTACGTTCCCGACAACTACAAGAGGAACGGGGGCCGTTCGGCCTGGAAGAGCGAGCGGCCCAAAGGAGTTGGAGGAGCCTGTGAGGACGATGCCTCCCCATGCGACCAGGGTGACGACTTCCGTTTGGAGAGTGAAAATGGAAGAGGGGTGGAGGGGGACATGGATGCTCCCCATGAAGAAACCACACTCCCTACCGCTGCCCAACCCCCGCGACCAAATGGGCCCGTGGAGGGAGAAGAGGAGGAAGAGGAAGGGGGGCAAGCGGTAGAGGAGCATAGGGAGCTAGAGGAAGGTGCAGCAGAGAGAGGAGTTGACATGCTGGAGCTCCTCCCATCCTCCTCCATGTCTTCCTCACCCCTCCATCACTCCGGACTGGGCAGGAGGGAGGCGCAAAGGGATCGGCTAAACAAGATTCTGCTGGATCTGCTACACAGAACACCCAATAAGAACGGTGAGCAGGCAATGAGGAAACGGGTATAGAGACACTGGGTGGTTTGATGAAGAGGGAAACTGTTGACTTGATGAAGGGGAAATATCGGACAGTTAACTTAATGTGTCATTGGTGTTTAGTAACCTCTCTCTCTTCTTCCAACAGCCATAGATGTCACTTATCTTCTAGAGGAGGGGTCAGGGCGGAGATTACGTAGACGGACGCTTGGATTTGGAGACTTTGTGGGTAGAAAATGATGTTGCCACTTACCTGGCAAGCACATTCCCCTTACATTCACTTGGGAGAGGTGGGGGGAAATGGAAAGCTGAGTAAGGGAAGATGACATTTGCAAAGAGAAAGTGACCACAAAGGGCAAGGGTTGGTCCCCTTCCCGGGCCCCCCTTCAGGTGGTGTTCCCTCTTCCCCAACCTGTCATCTCAAGTGATGAGACAACCCAATGAATAAACGGTTTGATGCAGTGCACTCAGCAGTCGTAATCATTGGTAACGGTTTTGTAGGGGACACAAGGACTTCTTCTCAGGAGGGTGGACCCAGACTTATTGAAGTACGATGCAAATGCTTTTTTTTTTACATAGGAAAATGTACCCCATGCACTTAAAAATGCGCATTGAACAAATATGAATCAAAGACAGCCCTGGTTACTCGGGACGTAGAGACTATTACACAGGTGTCACATTATCCATACACACGGCTCATCAGTGCAAACTTGAGTCAATTATTTTTAGTGAGCAAAAGAAAGGAACAACATGTGGTACTGAACATGGCTGTGGCATACAGCCATAGACTCAAATATACTTCTTTTTTTAACGACATCAAATGGGAATGAGGCTGGAGACTGGCGTCCCCTAGTGGGACTAAGTGGTGATGACAAACTAAACGTTGGCCACAAGAGACCTAAATGTACCAGGACTATGATAAAAAAGAGGCATAGGAGTGACATAGGAGGCTATGCAGTGGACTATATGAGCAACTTGTAAGCATACACTGCTGACGATGAACTAGGAGAGAAGCTGCAGGGAACGAGGTTGGTCAACTGCACTTTGGTACCATGGATATCGTTGGCTCTCTAATGTATCAACGAGACACACTAACACTCTCACACGGTATTGGATGATGCAGTCTGCAAAGCAAGTTAATAATAAATATATCTTTTTTTTCTGTCATACTGTAGTAATTCATTTAGGAACAGAGAAGGAACGACAGGGGATTGTGTTTGTAAAGAATAGCTGTGCGCTTTTGGTCAGTCAAGTGTCTTGTTGGGTTTGTGAGGCAGTCCGCTTCGCCCCCCTCTTCTGAAGTACCTGATTCACCAGCTTAACTAAGTCAGGCGGCGGAACACTGACTCTTACTGTAACGCCTTAGAACGCCGTGGTCCCTGACTGCCTTGCGTGAGTGTATGCACATTTGTGTGTCTATAATCTGCCAGAATTCTTGAAAAAAAAAAAAATGAAAAAAAATTAAGGGCTTGATGGCAATTAACATTTTATGGGAAATTATGGAAACCATAGGTAACGTAAAATGTATTGTGATGGTCATATTTTCATATATTCTGTGAAAAGGGGTGTCTGTTGGGAGGGAGGGGACTCTAGCTGTACATGTTTTCAAATGTGTTTCTGGTTGCCATGGAGAATATTTTAAATCATTTGTGAGATTTGATGAGATTTATTTTTTCCAAATGCTTCTGTTTAAAATGAGACTTTGATCGAGATGTCCCATTTAAGTTGGACTGGCATAGAGATGGAGAGAGTAAGAAAACGGGACAGAAAGAGGACAGAAAGTTGTACAGTGCCAAGTTATATATATACAGACTGGGATTATGTGAGAAGTGTCTCCAAAAGCAATATCTTGATAACGGATTTTGTCTATTATTGTATTGTACAGGACTCAGCCCCATATGTATTATAATTATTATTTCTGCCATTTTTGTATTACTATAATCGAGACACTTAAGCTTGAGGGAGAAGGAAGAGGTGTTTTTGTCCAGTAAAACGTACCACAACTGTCCTAAATGAATGACATGAACTTAAACTGAATTTTAGTTGCCTAGAAATTATACTGAACAAAAATATAAATGCAACATGCAACAATTTCAAAGATTTTACTGAGTTACAGTTCATATAAGGAAATCAGTCAATTGAAATAAATTCATTAGGCCCCAATCTATGTATTTCACCGATAAGCATCTGTTGGGAAAATATACCTTTAAAAAAATGGGCCTCAGGATCTTGTCACGGTATCTCTGTCTGTTCAAATTACCATCGATAAAATGCAATTGTGTTCATTGACATCAGCAAACCGCTCGCCCACATGACGCCATACATGTGGTCTGCGGTTGTAAGGCCGGTTGGATGTACTGCTAAATTCTCTAAAATGACGTTTGAGGCGGCTTATGGTAGAGAAATGAACATTAAATTATCTGGCAACAGCTCTGGTGGACATTCCTGCAGTCACTATGGCAATTGCACACTCCCTCAAAACTTGACACATCTGTGGCATTGTGTTGTGACAAAACGGCTCATTTTTAGTGGCCTTTTATTGTCCCCAGCACAAGGTGCACCTGTGTAATGATCATGCTATTTAATCAGCTTCTTGATATGCCACAACTGTCAAGTGGATGGATTATCTTGGTCAAGGAGAAATGCTCACTAACAGGGATGTAAACAAATTTGTGCACAATTTGAGAGAACTAAGCTTTTTAGGTGTATGGAACATCTCTGGGATCTTTTAGTTCAGCTCATGAAACATGGGACCAACACTTTACATGTTGTGTTTATATTTTTGTTCAGTGTAAATTCATCTATGTACTGCATGTGCGAGAAGAATGTCAAACAAACTTCATAGAAGGCATTGGGACATAACAGTGACTCTGAAATTACATCTGTCGCTGTAATATTACTTATGAGGAGAAAATATGCTCCTTGTTTTTGCTGCAAAGTGTTGAACACTAAAAAAACAAACCAACTTAATATTATGATATTTTGAAAGATGTCAGCTCCAATATGTAACATTTTTTTTCAAATGAGAAATTGTTCCGTTTTTGTGATAGCGGTCATAAATATGATGCTTGTACTTGTACTTGTATTTGTGTTTTGTGTGATTTGTTTAGTTATTTTTAGACAATCACAAAATAAGATGCAAGCATTGTAAATGGACAGACTGGCAGACATTTTGTGATGTGTACAGTTTGTCAACTTCTTCCACTCGTTAAAAGTTTGTAATTATGATTATAAAGTTATGAAAATTTGTTGGTTTTATATTCAATTTGTTTTGTTTGTTTTTTAATAAAAAGCACTACATTATTGTGAATAGAAATGTTTATTTTGCCTTGCCTTTTTGATAATGTTTAAAGGAATAGTTAAATTGTGCTCTGGATTTCCTTAATATAAAGTTGAAGTTGAACTTCAGCCGTCTAAGCAGGGATGTAGAAAAGTAGTATGAGGGTCTGCTCCCAGGTTTAGATAGGTGGCTGCCGGTGCGTAAGAGCTAATTTAATTATGGAGTTCAGCAGGTACACACACAAACCATAAAAAGGAAAAACCAAGGTCAGGATGTAAAAATATACTCAATTAAAATCCAAACTCGAAAGATTAGAAAAAGTCCCAGTACAAAGTTAGTCACTCACTCGCTCCTTGGAGCATAGCACCTCGACATGGATCTCCACGCCGTCCTATTCTGGGCCAGGTCCCAGGCTGATGTGGTGTTGAGGTTGTGTAGTTCATCCTCCAATAAATCATAAACCATTTTTGGGGGGGTACCGGTTACCTTCAGACGAGTCCCGTGACAATTGTGGGGGTCGTAGAGCAAAACGGAGAACACCCTCGTGTTCGTGAGTCTCTCCTTTCCATAGAGTAGTCATAGTTCACTGAACAAAAATACACGACATAGGCAAAAGTATGTGGACACCCCCTCAAATTAGTGGATTCAGCCACACCCGTTGCTGACAGGTGTATAAAATTGAGCACACAGCCATGCAATCTCCATAGACAAACATTGGCAGTAGAATGGCCAGTACTGAAGAGCTCCGTGACTTTCAACGTGGCACCGTCATAGGATGCCACCTTTCCAACAAGTCAGTTCATCAAATTTCTGCCCTGTTAGAGCTGCCCCGGTCAACTGTAAGTGCTGTTAATGTGAAGTGGAAACGGCTCAGCCGCGGCGTGGAAGGCCACAAAAGCTCACAGAACGGGACCGCTGAAGGTCGTAGCGTGTAAAAATCGTCTGTCCTCAGTTGCAACATTCACTACCGAGTTCCAAACTGCCTCTGGAAGCAACGTCAGCACAATAACTAATTGTTGGGAGCTTCATGAAATGGATTTCCATGGCCGGGCAGCCGCACACAAGCCTAAGATCACCATGCGCAATGCCAAGAGACTGCTGGAGTGGTGTAAAGCTCGCCGCCATTGGACTCTGGAGCAGTGGAAACGCGTTCTCTGGAGTGATGAATCACGCTTCACCATCTGGCAGTCCGACGGACTAATCTAGGTTTGGCAGATACCAGGAGAACGCTACCTGCACCAATGCATAGTGCCAACTGTAAAGTTTGGTGGAGGAGGAATAATGGTCTGGGGCTGTTTTCCATGGTTCGGGCTAGGCCAGTGAAGGGAAATCTTAACACTACAGCATACAATGACATTCTAGACGATTCTGTGCTTCCAACTTTGTGGCAACAGTTTGGGGAAAGCCCTTTCCTGTGTCCGCATGACAATGCCCCTGTGCACAAAGCGAGGTACATACACACAAATGGTTTGTCGAGATCGGTGTGGAAGAAATTGACTGGCCTGCGCAGAGCTCTGACCTCCACCCAATCGAACACCTTTGGAAAGAATTGGAACGCCGACTGCGAGCCAGGCCTAATCGCCCAACATCGGTGCCCAACCTCACTAATGCTCTTGTGGCTGAATGGAAGCAAGACCCCACAGCAATGTTCCAACATCTAGTGGAAAGCCTTCCCAGAAGATTGAAGGCTGTTATAGCAGCAAAGGGGGGACCAACTCCATATTAATGCCCATGATTTTGGAATAAGATGTTCGACGAGCAGGTGTCCACATACTTTTGCTTATGTAGTGTATTTGGTCACCTACAAACAAGCAAGATTTCTGGCTCTCACAGACCTGTAACTTCTTCTTTAAGAGGCTCCTCTGTCCTCCACTCGTTACCTGTATTAATGGCACCTTTTTGAACTTGTTATCAGTATAAAAGACACCTGTCCACAACCTCAAACAGT